CCAACGTTCTCCTCACCGTCTGAACGCGACCAACACGACAACATACAACATTCCAAAGGCATTCATACAAAGCAAACATTTCCTATTATTAGAACAGTACACCAACAGTATTGAAAACAAGATAAAATGTTTGTAAACATAATCTATGTCTCGCTACGATCCCGTCAACGCGAAGTTCACGAAAAACGGAGCTAAAATGCGAAAGTTATGATTTAAACGGGTTTTCCTATAGCCATATATTTAATTAAATCTAATCATGAAATTAAAAAGTTCCAAACTTGACTAACAGTAGTTCCAACATGTAGCTTATGAAATTACGAAGCTAACGCAATTTGAATGGATCAATTCGGAGCTAAAACGACAATTTTATAAGCGAAACAGTTCAAATGGCATTTCTGTAAATACTGAAAACGTATTTTGAACTAAAACAGTAGACTTTACGTTTTCAAAACGAGAAAGCGTACTCTGGAAACTACGCTAGGGACGGCGGGTTCAAATAGGTGAATCTAGGAGGGCTCTTTAGCAAATCTACCCGTGAAGGGGTATCGGCCACTAAGAGCCGTCGGATTTGAAATGAACGGCCAGAAATCGATCCGGGGAGAGAGAAGAAAGGGTGGCCGGCCGGAACAGTAGCAGCCGCGGCGGCGCTCCATTGCCGGCGATGAGAAACACGTCGGCGAGCTCGGTACAGGGTCTAGGGGCCACGGTTCGAATAACTGAGGGCACCGGGGAGAAGCGGGGGAGCGGGTGTTCAAGGCTAGGCCAAGAAGGTGGCTGGAGGGTGATGCCGTGGCGATGGTCGCCATGGACGGCGTCCAAGAGCATTCGGAGCTCGCGGCTACGGCGCTAGGAACCATCTAACGCCAAAGAAAAGGGCCGGGGAGAAAGAGGAGAGCAAGGGGAGGCTCACAGCGGGGAACTCGGGGTCGGAGAAGGCTCGGGGAAGGCAGGCGACGCGGACGGCGGACGGCGGTCGACGGAGCTCTTCCGTGCGGCGGTTGTGGGCTTCCTCGGTGCTTGGCGAGCGCGAAGACGAGAGCGGGGAACAGCAGCAGAGGGTGCGGGGACGGCCTCGGCTTCCTTTTGTAGAGGCAAGGGCGTGGGCGACGCTCCCACGATGGCGCAAGGAGCGGGCGCAGTTCGGCGGCGGTTGCGGCTGACCGGGCGTGGACACGGGAGGAAAGGGGCAACTCTGACAGCGGGGCCAGGCGGTCAGCGGCTGGGCACGGAAAGGAGGCGCGGCGGTTGCCTGGCGCGATGCTGGGCTGGCGCGGCTGACGCGCGCGGCTGGGCTGGCCCAGGAAGGAGAGAGGGGGAAGAGCGAGTGGGCCGCGGGAAAGAAAGGGCCATGTGGGCCGAAAGTGAGGAAGAGGAGGGAATGGAAGGAAATTTCCTTTTATTTTTATAAATAAATTTTTCCAATCTCATTTTCAAGGTAAATTTGAATTCAATTCAAATTTTAGTCAAAGCTAATCATTACAAAAGCAAATGCACAGCAGCATGAATGCATCAACATGTTTCTATTCCTTATATTTGATTTTAATTTCCTAAAAATTATTAATTTCCTATATTTGAATGCACACAATATAACATAAATAAATCAAATTTACTATTTTAAAAGATTGTAAATTTTAGGGTGTTACACATATGATTGTCCAACTCGAATAATGGCGTCTTCAAGGACTCTCTTGGGGTAACAGAGTGACTGATCTGCAAGCTGCAAACGCATATTTATGTATAACAAGTATCTCTACTAATTTTACCATAAATTACCTTAGGCATAATGTTGACACTTGCTCCGAAGTAACAGATAGCTTCATAAAAAATGTGAGCTCCAATGGCGATGGGATGACAGTTCTCCCTAGATCGCTCTTCTTTTTCGGCAAGGTATAAGCTATTCACCTTCCTGTTGATGGCTCTGTATAGTAGTAAGCTGCATTAGAATATCGACAAGATTTATAGTTTCTAGATCTTCCGTTTGCCCCAGAATCTTACCTTTGTCGGATGGAGGAACAGCAGTAGCCTGCTGACCTATTTGTAATTCTATCATTTTATTAAAGCTATGCTGGTTTTTAATGGCAGAAGCAAAGCTATCCATTCTATTTATGTTCTCTAGAATTTTAACATTGGTAGCTACCTTTCTAGATAATCCCTCCATAAGTTTGGATTGGCCAGCGATTAATTCTCTTAGGAGTGGTTGAGTTAAATTATTAAAATTATTACCTTGATAGTTACCTTGTTAGTTTGGTCTTTGTTGCTGGTTCCATCTTTGACTCCGTTGAGGACGAAAGTAGTTATTGTTGACAAAGTTCACATCCTCTTAGGTTTCAGGACAGCTGTTCCCTGAATGCCTAGTGTTTCCGCACACTTCACATGTCATGCAAGAATCATGAATGTGCATGATTTCTTACTTCTCATTGGCTCGATCTTCAAGCTTCTTCATCAGCGAGTCTATCTTGATAGACAGCATGTCTACTTCCTTGAGTTGATGCATACTTCCACCTCTTTTGCGGGTTTGAACACGTTCTTCATTCCAACCTTGATTGGAGGCCATCTTCTCCACAAGAGCTGTTGCGTCTGGTATGGTGAGTGACAGGAATGTACCTCCAGCAGCAGCATCCATAGTTTCACGGGTATTGTTGGTCAACCTGTGGTAGAAAGTCTGCATGAGTAGCCAATTCTCCATCCCATGATGAGGACATTCCGCAATGTAATCTTGGAAGCATTCCCATGCCTCAGGGACATATTCATCATGTTGTTGCTGAAAGCTTGAAATTCTCCCACACAGAGCATTGATCTTGCCTGTGAGAAAAAACTTTGCTAGAAAGGCAGTGGAGCAGTTATCCCATGAATGGATCCAAATGGGATTTGTGCAAACTTTTTTAGAGGTCTACTGAAGCAAAACTCTTACAATTATTTAGGTATTTGTATGGTGTACTTTGGGGATGAACTAAATGTTTAGTAGGCAATAATAATAAGAACAAAAGAGATGGAGATATAGCAAAAAGACCCAATTCTTAATTATATGATATACTAGTAGAAATTATAGAGAAAGGACAAGAAAACAAAGCACAAGTAACATCATTAGCTAGCCAATTGAACACCCTGTATAAAATCAAGTCCACCCTAACTTAACTAAGCACCCGTCACCCCTTTTACCATGGGATTTGGCCCGCTATCCTACTCATGCAAAGTCCACTAGCACCTTAAGGGTCTTTTTGTTTGAGCTACAGTTTTTGGGCTTTTGGATTAATTAGAAGCTGGCTTTCGAATGGGATTTTGGCTGCTAGCTTTTTGCTATTGAATTTTATAATATTTTTTAAAGCTTCTCAGCACACCCAAAAGCCAAAAAAGTTCCTCTTAGTGTGGTTTTTAGCTTTTAGTATGTTTCCTCAGAAGCTAGATTTACAAGTTTTCAAACTCTAGCTCAAACAGCTAGGATGTTTGTTTCAGTTTCTTGCTTCTGGTTGGAAGAAGCCAACAAAAAGCTAGAACAAACATGCCCTAACCTAATATCACGGCATATGGTTATGGTAGGCAGTTGTGGGGTTCATAAAACATTTTAAACCTAAAACTTCCGATGACATCCAGCTTATGGCCAATATTTATGGCTTATCTACTAGATTATACTTTATTGAAAGAGATAATATTCTGGTGATGTCGCCTTTGATTTGTAATTTGTATGCAAATTGAACTTATAGGTTGAGTGTTTGACAAAGAAAGAGGTAGTGTGGTTATATGATGCCACGAAAAAATGAACTCTCTACTAATGTGTGATTGCCGGTTCTTGGAAAAAGAAAGCTAGAAGCAGAGTTTGCTCTATATATACAAATCATGACAAAGAGTTGCACGAGACCAAAATCTGAAATCAATATAGAATTATAGACTGGAAGCACCTAACTGTTTAGTAGTCCTGCAGTTGTTGTTACAACATTGTTCCTGCTGCTTTTATGAAGGATGCAGTGCTTAATAATATAATCTCTGTCTTAAGGCTATCAATTTATTCTACATGGAACAGAAACCATGAAGCAATTAATAGATTATTACGATTTACTGTATATTTACACTTTTCCATAATAATGACCTGAATCCACACTACTAGAGAACAGACTTTAGAACGATGTCCCAATTTGACATTAGCCTCGGCATTTTTTGCCCCCGGGACAAGAAGGCCTTTAGTCCTGGTTGGTGTCTCCAACCGAGACTAAAGGTCCCTGCCCAACGGCTAAACCGGGACTAAAAGTCCTCCAACCTTTAGTCCCATTTGGTAATACCAACCGGGACTAAAGGTAGACCCTTTAGTCCCGGTTGGTAACACCAACCCGGACTAAAGGTCCCCAGATGGGTTAGTTCAAAAGGAAAGCATCCCATCCATTGTTAGATGTGTTGTGTAGGTGGGGTGGTAAGCTACGCACGAGGCAGTGCATGAGGTCTTGGGTTCGAATCTCACAGGGCGCAGCGGTGGGAGGCATTTTTTTAAGCTGGGAGGATCTTTAATCCCGGTTGTGGCAAACCGGGACTAAAGAACAACACCTTTAGCCCCGGATTGCTAGTCCCGGTTGGGAAACCGGGAGTAAAGCTGGTTCCCAACCGGGACTAAATCTCATATCTGTAGTAGTGCCAGGACACTAATGGGCCAAAGTATTACATGCATATGGCACCATGTTTATGAAGTATATAAAATATATGTTGTTCTGAAATTATTTGTGGAGGAAACGCTACACATGCAAATGCTAAACCCAAAATGTTTCAAAGTCTAGATAATCTGATTGTACACAAATCGAATTGGTACTTATTTGTGATCGGGGTGTTCAGAATAGTATGCATACATCATAATCAATACTTATACATGATTACATGGCCAATTGCAATCTTGTATGTGACTACCCAATTACATTTCATGATAGAAAATACAAGTGGTTTTATTGATTCCAATATAATTTTCCTTTAATATGTGACATAATACTACATATGATATTTTTGCATTGCTTGGGGTCCCTTCAATTACTCTTGGCAAGAACTTTGCGGTGATACTCTCCAAGAGCCCAAACAGGGAACAAAATACGGTAGTTGGGGTAGTTGAAGTAAACAGAGGAGTTAGTGTTGCCAACATGTTCCTATAATCAAAATGCAAAAGAAATGGTCAGTGATGGTATAGGTTATGGGAAATGTAATGGCGACACTTTTTTCTCTTACAGGGTAATAATTCTAGGGTGAGATATCTCCAATAAGATATAGGCACAAAATGAAACTATGAACATGCAATGTAGGAACTAACTAGCAAAATATATAATAGTGTATATATGACCTGTCTACTATATATATGCAGAACACACAATGCAATTGATTGAAATCTCAAAGGCACCCATCACTGAAACTTGACCAATACAGCTATCTAAAAGGCCATTACCTAGGAATGTGATAGTAGGATAATTGAATAATAAACATGAAAATACCTAGCTTCTGCATAGGATCACGAAAATAAGAGTAAACACCACCTTGTCTAGGCCATAGGGAATCAGTAGAGTTCTCTCAAAATCAAGAGGGGCACATAGTTGGGCTCAGACATAACAAATCGCTCATACTACCGATGATCATAAATATAAGTCCATCTAGTATGTCTACAAAAATAAATAACATTAAATGAAAAGCCTTATACATTGTGAAATTACATGATTTTAGCAGCGCAATATTTCTGCAATCGTGATCATACAAACTTTTATGCATTTCTGGTCAAAGTTAGAAAACTTTGACCTTAGGAAAAACTAAAACAGACTTATATTTACGATGAGAGAGAGTACATTTTTGTCTTTTGCATCATAACAATGTTTGGAAAACTCACTTGTTGAGGATAGTCTCCTGTCTCCAGTTGCATATTAATCAATACTTTTGCTGCTCGATGTAATGGCGTTGGGTCCCTTTCCATCTAATTGTACAAATTAGAATAGAAAGGTGGATGCAATCAACATGTATTTATAAATAATTAATGGTACTCCAACTAGTAGTCGACAGTGATGCTTTGGATACCAAGATGATATAAAACACAAACATATTTTTATTTGATGAATCTAGCAAACCAATATCATTACGAAAATATTTTTGAGGAGATGAACCTAACACATCGAGGTATTTGCAAATTCGTAAATGTTGTGATGATTGATTACAAATAAATACATTGCATTGTTTTTGTAACAAGGGAGTAGTCCTATGCACTAAATGATATATATGTGATCAAGAAATAAAACCTGTCCAGCATAAATCAAAGCTAGCATCGCCCAAGCAGTCTGTACAGCATGAGTGCTAAGACCCTCTACATAGACCTGCGCATCATCAAAACAAGTGTTTTCTAGGATTAGGATCACTACTAGCTAAGAATAAGGAAACTGATAGTATTTTGAAAAAATCCATGTAAATGAGTTAATAAACTTTGAAAATGCTAGGTAACTTAGTTCAATGCCTTCGATGGTTGCACTTAGAATGCTTTCAGGCTAATCTATTGCTGGCATAGAATAACTTAGGGTCCGTTTGGTTGGGCTTTTGGCTTTGGCTTTTGGCCCCAAAAGCCAAAAGCCCAACCAAAGGGGCTGCTTTTGGAGACGGCTTTTTCAGAAGTAGCTGCTTTTTCGTAGTACATTTTTGAAAGCTGGTTTAACACTGCTTTTGGCTTTTAGCTTTCTGCTTTTCGAAATTGGTGGAATAAAAAGCTCTTCCATAGTTGTTTCAAGAGAGATAAGATAGAAGGTATATTTTATACTTGTTTAACCAAACAGCTTTCAGTTTTTCTACAGCTCATAGTCCACAACAACTTTCTCACAGCTCACAGCCCACAGCAGCTTTTTCCCATAGCCACAGCTCAACCAAACACACCCTTATTCTATGGCCACCTCAATTTACGATAATGTTTGTACTAGTTTTACAATAATGTGACTACATATTTAAAATACATGTGTCACTATAACTCATGGTGATATTTAGCATATATTATAGTAAATCATTTAGGAGAAGTTATAGTAATCTTGTTAATTAGTACAGTCTGTTATGGTAACTCAAAGTGGCTATAAAATAATTTATTGTGGTTGGCTAGTGTGTGTGCGCGCGCGCATGTTATAGGATTTTCTGTCCAACAAGTAGATCAATTTTTTGTGTGCAAGGAATCAGAGGGGTAAAACAAGTGACATATTTAGGGTGTGTTTGGATAGAAGAAACGTTTTAGTTTCTGGTGAGAATCAGCTGAATCACTTCCAAATAGTCTTTCCAGCAAGTGATTGTCACCAAAAAGTTTCAACCTTTCTACATACACGTGCGAAACGACATAAGGCTGGTTTCGCACAGATTCTCATCTCATTGCTTCCTATTTTATTGTTCGTTTTTAGTTCATTCAGTTAAAATGGTTTGTATTTAAGTTGTTCTCCTTCAACAATATAGGAGAATAGAATTGGTGGAATATTTTATGATGTATTGTATTGGACCTCATGGGCTGATTATATATGGTACATAGGACTAACACCCCACGTAGATAGATAATGTGGTACTATTTCTATTTACTCTAACAAACAACATATGGTTTCCTAGTTTGTTAAGGAAAATCCTATCGGATTGAGTGGACCAATACAATTTTCTTGGCTCCCAAGGCTATCTAGTCGATATCTTGTCTTCGAAGTAGTCCATGTACCTCGTCCAGTTTGAGTCTCTTCCACAGCAGGCTTGGCCCACCCATTCCTAGTTGGACCTTTTTCCCATGCGGGGTGTGTGTGTGTGTGTGACACGTCTCCAAACAGACCTAATGACAATTGAGTACTCATCTTTTTGTAATTTGTACTAACGAAATGAATATATCTATGCATATTTAAACCAAAACTTTGTGAATAGACACGCATATGTCTTAGGCTCTTTCTTTGATAGGGTGCTCTCTATACATGAGTTCACGATTGTTGCTAAGTAACTGTTGACAAGATCTATGTAAAATGAAATATTGTTCTTCACCTGTCTTTCACATGAATGATAGCTCTCTGCCCAGCCACCAGTTTTGAGTTGTATTGAGAGTAAAAAATTACATGCTTTCCTAATGCAAATACTGTTCTCATAATTTCTTCCAGCAGCAACTAAGCCTTTTATCGCATAGAGGGTCCCATAGACAAAACATATTCCCCAAGTGCCGTACCTTGCAGGTAATTGCTTATTTAGTCATTATTAGACATAGAGAAAAAAAGATAATTCATAGTTTCATACAAAATAGAAGATGCTTTCGTACAAACCAGGATCCATCCTTGTTTTGATTGCTCTCAATAAATATGGCAGCTTTGTTAACATTTTCTTTTATTTCTTTACTGCAGTACTCTGAATTAAAATCCCCAAATAATATCAAAGCCTGCAACACTGAGGATGTGCATTCAACTGTTCTGCCAATGGATGAATTGAGTGATTTAGTTTTCAAAACAAATTGAAATGGCAACATGAGATTCAGATTTAGAAGAGTCGTCATTGTTCTTACGGGTAATCGGCGACAATATTTCGAAAACTCTCCAAAGGATTCAGAATCTAGGATTCCAAATGAAACAAATGTCAGTCTAAATGGGGCTATAGTATCAGCATATATAAAGTACTCATTCTTGTTTCCTAAAAAGGTATTTTTGTTCTTTGCTATATTCAATATCATTATTATTAGTGGCTAACATCGCGATAATTTTACAGTATTTATTAACAATGCTAGACGACATGGTTTTATTGGTAACTTGTGCTATACATGGACTCCATAAAATAAGGTGATAGACTAACAGAACATTTTTTTGCTAAGCAACAAAACCCATTGACCTAGTAAAATTGTGATCCATTAATACACCTAGTCTGAATATATGTTTCAACTTTTCATGATGTCCCAATTAACTTCTGAATTCACCTGTGGCCTATATTCATATAACTTCTACAACTGTATAAACCTATATGGGCAGCTATAAATCATCACAAATGGAGTAAATCCACTGGTTTGTGTCACCAAGTAGTAAATTCTGGTGGAAACCCTTCCTCTTTCCTTTAAACAAGAAATCTTATGGCATTTGAATCTCCAAGCACTGAAATTTGATCACATTGTGCCTCAAAGCAGTAAAAATTATCGTTGGATTGGATTCATCCTGACATATTTTTCATCTCAAACCATAATTTTTTATCTAGTGTTTTTAACAATGAAGCTATGTTATAGACAACCATAATCTTTGATTTTAGAGTAGTAAATTTGAGTTTGCTAGAGGCGTGCATTTGTAACTGATTACGCTTAAGTAACTTATTATAGTTTGAGCAAGTTTAGCGCCTAAGTTTGGATCACTCCAATAGTGGGACATGTGTGCAAGCAATCAGAGAGGAATTCGAGGGCTCAATTATGGCATGCATGAACGAAGGATAGCATGGGAAAGATTTTAGGGAGAAATGTATGCAGGCATTTGTTGGATGCATGCAACGCATGAAAATTAGATTCCAAGGCAAAGGAAGCTAGGTTAAACTTGCATACATTATTTCATTAGTTGTTTCAAGATACATGGTGGCATGGAAATGTGAGTGGTGTTAATAATTAAGGAAGATTATTCTACTAATGTTGAATCATTTGATGTTGTTGTATCAGGTGTGCAATGACCAAACCTCTATCAAAATCTAGAATGGCATGACCACCTCTATCAAAATGCAAAGACCAGACCTCTATCAAAATGCAATGATAACTTTTACTAACAATATTGTTTGGTAGCTTGGATTATTTATCAGATACTCATAAACTGCTTGATCTGACCTACAGGTTTTCTTACCAAGTTTTTTCATATCAAATGTGTTTTTATAAGCTCTAGAGAGAAAACATTATGTTGATTTTCCTAACCGGTCCAGTCCAATATTGCAAAATAACTATGGAATATTTTTATCTTGTTCCTGAGAGGTTATGGGCTAGTTTTCTTTCCAAAACAATAAACAAATCAAGTTGCTCATAAACTCCCTGTTGTCACACTTGGAGACATTTTAGAAGAAGATGATATGCTACTGATTTTCATTATTGCAGATAGATGTAAACATTCTTACAAAGTCCTGTTTATGTTTTTTCAAGAGTATGTAACTTTGCAAAACATACTCACCTCTAGCCAAGAATATGTTCTTTGGCATTCAAATGTAGAAACTGAACCATCTTTGTTCTGTAGATGAAAACAGAACCTTTTGTTAGTGAAATATTGCATTCAAATAAATAAAATTACTAATGTAATTGTATCAAATCCTAAAATCTCATCCACAAAATAAGCTGAAAATAAATTGTGTTAATAGAGAAGTCAATCCATCGCAACTTCGACCAATTATATATAAAAATTTATTAATACTTATGATACGTAATGAGTACTATAGATGGATAAAGAAATATATTTTCTCAATAAACCTCTTTGGAGATACAAATCTTGATATTATTTGCGACATAGTTCAAACCGAGGATGACTTTCTTTTTCATTCATGATCTCACTCACAAAATAAGTATTGCTAATCAAATTATAGGTAGGTACATATTAAAGGAAAGTATTGATTTGTTGGAAACAACATTCTCATGACTCTAAGGGCATTTCATGAATAACAATATGTTTGTGATTTGTTAAATAAACTCAAACAATGTTGTGATAGAGGAGAAAATTTTCATGCCCATGAGAATATGGTAGAAAAATTTTGTTTCAAATGGGGATATGACTTATGCCGTCTAATAGTTCACCTCTGGTAGATCAAAAATCTTATATCTGTTTCATATTCCTTTGCTAACGTATCCTTACAGTTAGCACGACCTAAATAATATGGATAGAAGATTTGGTTATGCATCAACATTCATATCCTTAACAAATATTGAATACCAACAAAAAAATATTTTAATGTGTTCACTTACCATGGGGTTGGTGCAAGACTCAATCAGTAATTTTGTGTATGATCTTAATCAATAAATATTTCAATCTAAATAAATGCTTTATAGAATCATACCATAAATGAAAGAAGGCAATCAATAGCATTAAACATCCACCCATCTCCATTTGAATTTTCGACGAGGTTGGGATATACCTTGGAAAGCAACAACATTGCCTATTTCAAGAAAAGAAACAAATTTGTCAAGTGATGTATATATACGGTGGTGTATATAAACTGAATTTGGTTCTATGTTTCATTTGCGTGATGCTTTTGTTTCAGTGTTCGCTCAAAAGATAACCACACACAAAAAACACTAGAACTAACGTGTAGATCATAAAAAAGATGAACTCGCGGCTCTGTCTGCAAAAAACAGATCACCCGGTTTTAGAGGCCGGTCCACCCAAATTTCCTACGGAACCATAAAAAACTTGGAATGCTTGGCTAGGTGGAACTCGTCAAGCTAGGCTAGCTCACACCAAGGGTTGCTCTAAAGGTGGTAATGCCACTTAGAATTCCTCAAGTCATTGTCGAGACAGAGAGAGGATAGCAATTTGAATCGAGACTAGGTTTTGCAAATGGGAAAATGTTGTAGCAATTGTGACTTTGATTAATTGGTTGTCTCAATTGGCTGGCATACATATTTATAGGGTGGGGACTGGGGATGTATTTTATTTTTAGCAACACTCAAGGGAAACATGACCCCACCTTTTCCATCGATTAATGCTAAACAACAGATATTACATGGTTGCTAGTATAGTTTTGCACAGCATGGCATGCCAAGCAAAGATTGCAGAGACAGAAACGACTAGAAACACTTAAGCTTCCAAAGTAGAAACAACTCAAAGATTTAAAGCCCAGTCGAGACTTGCATGTGGCCATGCGCAGTCTTGAAAAAGCAAGTTGCTGATCGCTAGATTGTACACCACTAAATCTCTGTTTGCCCAATTAGTGCTGAATGTCTGTGATCTCAACTATGTCTTCATCAAACCAGGGTGCATGACAACTGTGGGCACACCCTGGCCGTTCGTTCGCCACTCCTCTTGTCACGAACAGAACGAGAGAGCTCCAAGACAAGATATAGGTCTCGCGAAGCCGTCTTTGGACAAGAGAAGAAACATATTGGCCGACCCTCATCGGACACGAGGCCATCCCCTTCAGAACAATAAAAAAAACAGTATACTGGGCAACTATTCAGTCGAATGTGGTTGACGATGACCGACCACATTAGTCTGGAGGAACTGGCCGTCATATGTTGCCACTTGTTCGACGCCTTCCAATATAATGCCTACGGAAGGCTGCAGAAATTAGTAGCCATGCACAACCAAACTACATGGGACGAAGACAAAGCAAGGAGCTCAGCTGTACTTGCGGCCGAGCTCGAACAAGGAGGTGGACATGAGACTAGGAATCCAAGACATGGATGGCTGCCATGTAATAGTAGGCCACTCCTAGCTAGCATCAAGTAGGAGAGCACACACTGTGGAAATTTTTCGGCAACCTCCTAATAACTTGTCTATATCTGTATATCAAAACAAAATACTAAATATATGCTTCTTGTGCTGACCTTAGTTGCTTCGGCACTAGTGTCCGATGAAGCCCAGCCATTGTCTACAGTCGAAAGTGGCCATGATCCTTTTGATCTATGCCGAACCAAGAACTTGGGTTCCCTGGAGGGTTTGTAGTAACCTGTTGTTAAAGAACAGTATGAAAATCCACGATGAAAAAAAAAGAAAATTTGTATCTAATTAATTGTTTTTTTTGATAAACCGAAGATGTGGTAAGCAACAGACTTGTGCTCTCTTTATGTATCCCATAGCCCTCTCAATGGTTGGACCATAGTCATTGGCAGCGTCTGCTGATAACAAGGCCTGGATTATAAGTGCTAACTCCCAGTTGTTGGTGCCATTGTATATCTACAATCAGAATTGCACATCAAAGTTTTATTAATTTCCATAGTTAGATAAAAAGAACTCCTGAATACAAAGTAATACAGCATCTTGACGCATGAGGAATAAATATAGAGAAAAAACTAAGAAAATGATTAAAAGCAATCCAAATAAATTATTTTTCTGCCATCCAAAACCATTTACTCTTGAAAACTATTGGCCCATGTTGGTATATGCGCAATATAATGGACTTCATTGCAAAAAAATGTATTGTCAACAGTACAATGAGAGAAAGGAATGGACAACTATTTTCAACAATCCACCTCTCCACCTTTAAGACACTTTTTTCTTAATAAGAATACAGAAGTCCGAGTCGGTAATTTCTTGTTTTTATGATTGTCTTAAAATCTAAATATGAAAGAATGCTTTAATAATGTGAAATGGAAATTTAATGCATGTACCTTTGATAAGATTTTTGTTGTAGCGGACTATACTAAATTGTTATTGTGAAATAATAATTAAAGGAACATGAGGCTTGTCCTATCATATATGGTTGTATTTAGAGGGATTTAATTAATTAGCTTAGAACTGTTAACGATGAGACGTCCAATCACATATGAGTTATTTAATAAATGATTTATCTGTTCTAAATTAAAAGTAGAGAGAAAGGGGGTCTAGGGCAAATGCATGAAACTACAAGAATAGTAGGAATAAAATATACAGTACTTTGGTTTTCATTCCATCTTCAGCAATCCACAAATAATCATGTATCCTTGGAATATGTCGCTTGATCGCATCTGAATTTGGGTTTTCGGACCCAACGACAAATCATGTTTAGTGCCTAGTCATAAATTAAGTAGAAAATTAGATTTCATCAGTTTTGGTATGGACAAGCAAAATACAGGGAAAGGTACAGACTATTGTTCTTAAGGAAACCATATTATAGTGGAGAGCAACGGAAATAGTTATACATGTGCCACTGAGAAAGCTCCTTGCTGGAGAAGCTCTGGTGTGGATGATACCTTGGTGACTGGAGCGAGTGTCCGATGACAAGTGGTGAGCCTTAGTATCTTAGAGCATCTCCAGCAGCTCCCCAATACAACTCACCCAACAAAATGTTATATGGATAGCTTAATATTATTTTTTTGGATTATTGGGGGAGATGCTACAACAGATCATCAATAATCTCCCTTAATATGTGGGACTCACCTGCCAGTTACAATTTATTTATTTTCTTTTTTTCCTTTTCTTTTCTCTACCCTCAGTTCCTTTTCTCCCGCAATCGTGACTTTGCAAGCACACCCGTCGGCCGCCGTCACGGCCTAGCAAGAGGACAACCTGAGCCCGACAAAGTCCCCAGCCCCGACCTCGGCAAGGACAAGGGCTCGCCTAAGCGACCACCACGCCATGGTCATTGTCCCTGGCCTTGACCTCCCTGGGATCGAGCACGACGAGGTCTCTGGCCCCGGCCAACCTCCACACCGCTGCCATTGTCCCTAGCCTTGACCACTGCCCCCGGGATCAAGCGTTGAGATGTCCCTGGCCCTGACCTCCAAACTGTTGTCGTCATCCTTAGCTTCGACCTCTGGCCCCAAGTCGAGCATGGAAAAAAAACGTATATGCTGTGACCGGCTCCAGCACGATAGGCCAAGGCGTAGCGGTGTGCGGGCCTGGCCAGTGGCTGCGGCGGCCATGTCCGTAACAGCGGTGGTGGCTAACTGCTGCGCTCGTGATTCCACGTCTAGCATGTTGACGCCATGGCTGCCATGGAGGTAGAGAGAGACGAGAGGCAGGAGGAAGAACAATGATAGTTGGGGTGGGCCCTACCTTATTGGGGGAGACGCAACTCCCCCTCTATTTGAGGGGAGAAGGGAAGTTTTGTGGTGGCCACAGGGGCTATTGGGGAGCTGCTGGAGCAAGAAAACAATCCTATGTTTCCCAATATTACAGTTTTACGGGAATGAGTGGTCTTTTGGGGAACTGCTGGAGATGCACTTACGACACATGTATTTGTTGGCAGTGGGTTTTTTGGCTTGCCCAACACTGTGACCTTAATAAAAGTCTTGGCGAGGAGCTCCAAAGTCGACTAGGGGTGGCGGTTTTGCACCCGATGCTATTGGATAAATCTTTGTCTTAGAGAGTTTTCTATCTCTTGACTTGGTCTTGACCTTATTCATTTAAGCTTCTAAATTTTTCTTGTTTTGTGTGGCCTTATCCATACCTCCCTAGATTTTCATAAGCTTGTTGATAGGATTGGATCTATGATGCAAAACTCTTAGTGGGTTGGCTAATGTAGAGAACACTAGAAAACTTAAGGTGCACATCATGCTAGAGTGAGTTTTTTCTAGTGTTCTAGTGTAGAGCAAGAATAGCCCTAGGAGTAAGTTTTTAAGTGACCTAGTCCATCCATCTCTTGGGCTCACATGCGCATACACCTTGCCGCATTTTATGTTTCCAAATTATGTTCTTGCAATGTTGTTCTTGTGTTACCTTTCTTTTGCCAAAGGGCGCCTAGCTCAAACGGTTAGGTGACCCAGCGGCACTCCTCAGTCTGGGTTCGACTCCCCATGGGAGCGAATTTCAGGCTGAGGTTAAAAAATCCCCTCGCCCGTCCCCATAACCAAAGCACTGAGGGGGGGGGGCACCGGCCTAATTCTCACTTGGGCGACGGAAAGCCACCGTGTAAGGGTGGGGGCGGGGGTTCGGGGGTTTTCTCGGCCGGGTGAGAAGGTCCTTCTTCTTATTTGTAATGCTGCGGGGGCAGTCTTACCAACCCCCCTGGTCGAGTTTTTTTTGTTTCCTTTCTTTTACAGTAGTTTGTGTTGGCTGCACCTATGTATTGATAGAAAATACCGCCTATTTGTTTCTATTTATACATGAATTTGATATAAAACATTTGATATATCGTATGTCTCAAATCCTAGAAAATTATTTATGGTTTCTATAGGTCGTCTCAATTTCTATTTTTCATACTTTTCAAATCAACGGTCTGTGTAACAAAGAATTGATTGTAGCATTATTATGTTTTTTCTATGTAGGACGTGCTATTATATCGAAATTCACTAAAACCTTGATGTTTGTTTGGTCCGTCCATTATCTATGACGATTACAAATGGTTTTTGTATTTAGCTACAGATTGTGAATAGTGTCTTTGTGCTAGTGAGAATATTTAATACATATAAGATAGAATCAGATTACACATTTCGTGTCTTATAACAAAACAATATGAATAGCTGCATTACTCCAAAGAAATAAGTATGCATGGGAGAATGATGATAGTAGACAATACCTTTGTAACTGGACATAAGCCAATATATTGAGTAGTTTCATCTTCATAGTGGATATGTTCTAGGATGTGGTTCAAAGCTCTCTCTCTTAACTTGTTAAGTGGCCAATAGTTCAACACCGGCTCCACGAACATGTTCAAACAAGTTGAAATAAATTTGAATATTCCTGAAGGTTTATAGCGCATGTCCTCCTAATGAAATGGCAAGAGTGAAATCAGTACATGTTTAACATTCTTAATCCCATGCATTATTTGGCATTTGTAAGCTTTGTTTCTGCATGAGTTCTAGAGTGCTGAATAAGTGCCGAAGAGAAAGCATGTAATTAAACATGGAATGCATCCATATATCTTAATTACCTCATGTGGAATTGTCATGTTAATAAAGTGAATACAAAGCTAAAGGTTTGGCGACGCCCAACAGCTCCCGCGTCATTCGCGGGGCCTCGCACCCGAGCGCGTTGACTAGTGCCTCGCAGGTGGTGCCACAAATGAAGGCATTGCTGACGCTCATGTCCGTGATGTTGAGGAGTTCGTCGCGCTTCTTGAAGAAGCGATGGATGTACTCGCAGATGGCCTCGTCCGACCTCTGCTTGCAATTGGGAAAATCCCAAGAGTTACCTGGTCAAGTTTAGGTTGAGCGGAGATCGGCCCAGCTCCATATGCTACAGGGGTCGAGCAGCTCGAGCCATGCCCTCACCGAGTTTGACAGGAGCAGGTGCAGTTACTAGACGGCGAAGTCATCGTCCGACTCTGTGCACGAGGGAGAGGGAGGGAGGGAGCATGCCATGGTGGAGCCCGTGGTTGAGTGGGATCCAGCCGCCGAGGGAGAGGGAGGGAGGGAGCCTACCGTGGTGGAGCCCTCCGCCGTGGTAGAGCCCGCTACCATGGGAGAGGGAGGGAGCGAGCCCACTGCCGGGGTGGGGCACACCGCCATGGGAGAGGGAGGGAGGGAGCCCACAGTGGTGGAGTAAGAGAGAGGGAGCTGCGGCCCGCGCATAGCGGCTATGGAGAGGAAGAGCTTAGTGTGGTGGAGGATTTCCGAACCCTAACTCTGTATTATATATGTGACTCGTATTGCGCCTGCTGGTGGGCTTTGGGCCTATTTCCAAAGGCGGGCCTCTCAAGAGGTCGACCTCCGAAAATGGCGACTTCCAAAAATCGATTTTAGGAGACGGTCACTTTTTGACTGCCTCCATAAATTGATTTTTGAAGACGAGCAAAATCCGACCACCTGCATAAATAAAACATCCACCTTTGTAAGTCCACTTTGTGAGACACGCAATTGTGACCGTCTCCTTAAATAAAATGACCGCCTCCAAAAAATCCTCAGGTATTTTAGGAGACAATTGCATTTTGTGACCGTCTACGTTAATGTTTGCACAGTGTCTTGCAATATCATTTTTATAGTAGTGCTCTCGACGCCACTGGCATCGTCGTAGCACTTGACCGTCATGGGCTATCTACTGCGGCGCAGCCTCCCCCGAGTGAGCCTTCTCGAGGCTTCCTTGGCCTGCAAGGAGCCGTCGCCTGGAGGGGCTAACATGTGGGCCTCGAAGCCTTTGCCCCTAGAGTTGGTGAAGTCCTTTGTCCTATTGTGTCACGTCGGTTGTGTGACATTATCAAAGGAGTGGCCGACATGACCTCACACCCATTGAACGGGCAGACGACATGATATCTTCATACCTGTTAGGAATCGGATGCCTGGCGGGCTCCTGAGCCAAGCCTCGGCCTGTGGCTCAGGGTGTCAGTTGCCGCTCGGGTATTGGCCCGAGTATACGCTATGCGGAAGTCAGGCTCGGGCCGTAGCTGCTCGGCAGCCCAGGGCCATGGTCGAGCCCCCGGGCCTCAAGTGGCGGCAGCAGGGACTCCTGTCCTACCCTTGAGTCCTTCCAGAGGGTGCGCGCAAGCGTACTCGATGGGTATAGCCCCTGAGCCCCCGGTCGGTCGCTCTATAGGATCGGCCGGGGGGTCCGCCGGTCGGCTTCCTCTTTCTCGAGGACTTAATATATCCCTATGTTAGACTCTCATCAACAGTGCTGTCCTTACAGCTACAGTGATGCACTAGTAATTGACGTGTGGGTGCTGTCCAACATTTTATTCCTGGTTGAAGACTATCTAATAATGGGCTATGGACAAAACCATAAATTCGTAGTGTCCTAGGGTAAACATGATGTTCCCGAAGTAACAAATACAGTGTCCTCCTGACATTGCATATATTTCATGTCCCTGAAGTAACCAATTTGTACAAATGACATTATTGCACAATTTAAAATATTTATAGCTATAATAATGATTAAGACTCAAGGAAGGACAGTGACAGACCTTGGCACAAGAATTACTTGCTTTGCTCCAATCAATTTGATCATACGACAAACTGTAGAGTTCATCCCTTAGTGCTAATATAGTTGGTGTAATGGGACCAACAAATTTTTTGCCATAAAGGAAAGCTATTGACATGTAAGTAATCCTAGTGAAGCACCAGAACCGCCCTGTGTGTATAAGAGAAAGCTCACTTCAGTTCATTATATATTTAAGTAAATAGCAGTTAAAGACCACATGCATATAGCTTGTGTGCTCTGTTTCTAATAACTTATAACACGCTACTCTGATCACATAATTCTCTATAACTACACGTAATCTACAATTATCACTGAATACTTCAACACTCCTCTGTATACCCATACTTCTTAAATTAATTCTTTATCTCCATCATTGTCATCTCTGCCATATGCTCAATTTGATAATAAGTTAATAACAGCAAGAGTTCATTTTTTCACATGACCCATAACTTATACAACAAAAAGTACATGCCAAGGTCTAGTACTGATTTCATCCCTATAAATCTTAAAGGTCCCTGATCCTACAGCAATATATAAATAAATGACCGAACCTTCACGTGACATGGTGAAATGAGCAAATATAATTGGTTACTACCATTTATTTAATTTTTTAGTTAATGACACTCTAAACAAATTTTCATTTCATTCTTTTTCATATTTCTTTATCATAACTAGTTGAATAGATTTTAAAACTATTCACTTTCATATGGTATCATCTTACAAGTGATATTTTGACCTTAAAAGTCTAGTGTCTCCTACCAGTATTCAACACTTGTATGCACACTTTGAGGGGGGAGGTTAATACTCTACAAGCTGGTATCTTTAAGACTAACACTACTTCAAGCTTATCATGTGTGTAGTAGTTTTATTGTAAGGAAAATTGAGTCCCCGGAGTTAAGCATGGATCCAAATGTTACAGGTCATATTTAATATTCTTCAAGTGGTGGTATGACGTATCCTACAAATTTGGTATTAAGTTCAGTTGGAATTGTAAAATTGGTATCAATCTTTAAATCAGTATCAATTTGTTCTATTTCAATTGGTATCTTTTATTACGTGCTTTCTCCATGCATTATATAGATTAAACTCTCTTTTGTGCTTAATTGTCGGTCTATGCATATGCTTTGCTATCCACTATATGTATGCATACAATTAGGGGGAGCTCAGTCTATGTAATGTGAGAGTCAAATTTAGTGACTAATTCCATTCCACATACAAAGGATCACAAAGTAAATTTGATCCTCCCTTGTGTTACTAGTGCCTTCCTTTTCAGTGTTTGATTCCAAAGGGGGAGAATTTGAGGGACCACAAACAAACCCAACCCATAATAAAATACCAAAATTGATTTCAAAAATTTCTAGTGGTATTGAATGGGGGTAACTTGATCATGGGGAGTTGGTCCTTGAAAGGAAGGATGTGGATTATGGAGTACTTAGAGGGAGGCTTAAGTCTATAATGCCATATAAGAGGATATCTTACATATGGTAAGAGCAAGGTAAGTAATATATAGATGTGGTACATTGCACATCTCAATTAACTTCATATGATCTTGCATTGCATCCAAGCAAGAAGATAGGTTGTAGTTGAATTTTCTACATATGGAATCTATTATTTGCTTGCTTTGGTTACGTTGTCATCAATCACCAAAAATGGGCGATTGTAAGGAAAATGGCACCCGACATGGTCTGTTAAGTTGATTTTGATGTTTGATGAACAACATGAACATATGCACTAATATTGTTTGCTAGTATACAAGGAAAGTTTGAATGGATGCAATATTGACTTGGACTTAGGCAATGTGAAGATCGGGATGATCAACCTCGAGAAAGACATTAGAAGCAGTGTTGCAGACCTACAAGATGTGCTACAAGTCCAAGACACAAGTTAGAAGAAACCCACATGCAAAGACATGAATAAAAGGAGCCCACTGCAAGTTGTCTGCAGTCAACGGATAACTCTTGTGCTGACCAGATAACAGCGCTGGAAGATAGGGTGGTAACAACAGTCAAACAAAATCGACAGGACTCACCTAAATAGTCCGATGTAACAGCAGAGAGAGAGCACCAGAGAAAAGACTGCAAAGACAACACTGTGCAGACGCCATCACCAAAACTGCTGGATCAATGAGACAACACTAGAAGATACGTTCGTGTCCAGAGTGGTTCCAGAAAGGAATTTCCATCACCAGAAATGTCCGATGCAAGGCAGCAAATAAAAGGGCTTCCCTGGTCAAGCTCAGAACAGGAACCCAAAAGCAGTAGAACAGTGCCACCAGAATTATCTGGTGTGCACAAAAAAGGTTGCACCAGAGAAAGGGGCAACAGTCGGCGTAGGTTCCAACGGTCAAATCCAACTGCTAGTACATGTGGCAATCATCGGAAATCTCCGGTGGGGTCACCGGAATTTCTAGTGCGAGCGCAGAATGTGTTGTGCATTACCCATCGACTAGTGTCTTTAGCACACTAGAGCTCATTTGTGATGGTTCTAGTGTGCTAATGAAGTAGGAGTGTAGACACTCTCTCAAGTGATCTAGCCACCATATGCGCTTAAGAGAAGATTAGGTGATTAGCATTAGTGCTTTGTGAGGTGCTTAGACCAATTAGTCCATCGCTTATGCGCTTGATCTGGGTTTAGGCCCTGTCAGTGTTCGTCTACACGGCCGTGTACACCGATTACTCGGCGTGTAATCGCTACTCGGTAGCCGAACGTGCAGTTTAGGCCATAAACGGTAGGTTACACGGGATCGCCGTGTAAACGGTAAAAAACGGCCGTGTAATCGGTCTACATGGCCGTGTAGGCGAACACTGGGTAATATTTTGAAAATAAATTATTTTCAAAATATTACCAATGTTTATGATGTGTAATAAGTACCATTAGATTAGTTGTGGAATATACTTTCATAATAAAATTATTTGAATTTACAAATATTAATATTAGTTTCTACATACTTAGTCAAACTTAAAAGAGTTTGACTCCTCGATAAGCGAGATGTGCACTTATTTTGGGATGGAGGGAGTATTTTATTAGGCACTTAGGCTATTAGGTCTAGCACTTAGGTTCTTAATTCTATATTATTGGACTAACTGGTGTTGTGTAATTCTATATTATCTATGTTATAGGAATATATACACAGGTTATTATAGTTATTTTTACAAATAAAGTAAAAACGAGTAATCCACGCGCTGTGTACACGGTCCTAAACGCTTCTACGAGACCTCGCCGACTGCTCTACCGTTTACCGCTTAGAAAAACATTGGGCTCTGTGTTTTGTGAGATTTGCATACATCTTGCTCATTCATGCTTGTGCGCACCATTGTTGTACTCGGAGGGGCTTGAAGTTTTGCAAGACCACACCAACTGCATTTGTGGTGCTGTCACACGGCTTGTACTAGAGGGAATGAGGCCCATAATTTGGCCAGAAGCTCGATGGAGAAGACAGTAGGGAGGGATCTAGGAGAGGGCATATGGTAGACCCACTTACACGTGGGGAAGACCCCGGGGCTACCCACAAAGTTACTCAACTGGGAGCTTGGCCCTTGCGAGGGTAACCTTGGGATGGGCTCCAACAAGGACTAGGGGGAGCGTGAGCTTCTCGATAACATACCGGAGTCATCGATGGGAGTTTGCATCTCTATCTCAAAAGCTTCCGATTTTGTAGCTAGGTTGTGTGCTTACTATTCTAGTCTAGCTTCCTAGGCTAGTTGATATAGGATTGGAATTGGAACCTAGGCTGCATTGTGTTAGAGATAGCAATACACATAGCACAACCTTAAATTGCATATCTATATAAATTACTTTCTCGCGTAGGTTTTGTTAAGTAAAAATTAGATGGCATAGTTTAGAGTAGAATTTTAGAAAGCCTAATTCACCCCTAGGCATCTTGGTCCCTGCAGACACCATTTAGAACAACTTTTAGAGGTGGTCGCTTAAGCCACCCGTATTCGTAAATGATTTTTTATGGTGGTTGCCTTTAGAAAAAAAAAAAAAACGTTGATAAAAATTATTTTCGCCAAATGTTCAAAATGGATGACTCTCACATTGTATTGCTATCAACAACAGATATAGTGGGATGATATCGAAGGCTTGTGACGGAGAGCTTGTGAGTTTGAATCCTAGAAAATACACACACGCCTAGAAAACTGTGTGACTTGTGATACGCAACATGTGACTGTGGAGTTCTTTCATGGTACGGCTATCTTTTCGTTTCAAATTTTTATGTTATGTTTTTATGAAATTGTTTCTTAGAGGTTGCTTAAGAAGCTTGTGAAAATCTATTTACACCGGAAGTTGATTTAACCAAGCCGTTAGAGAAACATATTTCTGCTTGTAGATCGAATGACCCACCGTTATTGGAAAATGCTCTATTTTCACTAGTCTTTCACACCACGCAGTGAACTGTTTGCAAATATGGTACGATTTCATCAATCACGCCATAATGTCAGATCGATCAAATCAAGACTCATATAATGAAGAATGAAAAGGACAACTATATAGGCAGCTCCCTTAAAAAACTACTATTAGGTAGCGAAAGGATCCTGTTCTATTATGTTGTACAGTGGTGAGAGATGAAAAATTGGCCGAAAAACGAGAGACTGTTTGAAGCAGTAAAACAGATTTTTGTGTAGTCAATGGGATACTATAGAACTGTGCAAATGTTTGGTTGTCTAGACTGCTAGACTGCTAGAAAAGAATATACCTGGGTGAATTGGGAGGAAACGTGGTACCAACCATAGTTCAGGCACAACTGGATTATTGCCACGCCAATCATATACACCAATGACCTTCAGTTAAGAAAACACGGAAGCATGCATCAATAATCGTAACCACCGTGCTGCAATCTCATACCGAAAACTAGGATGGTTTCTATAGTCATTGTATTAGTTAAGATGTCAACTAGAGCTGGGACTTGGGCCGTGCCATTTGAGGGCGGGTCATGGCATGGTCTTTTAGCATGACCCGAAGCACGGCACGACACGAAATACTTTGGGCCTTGCCGGCACGACACGAACACGCGGGCCATGCCGTGCCCAGGATCTCGGCACGGCGGGCTACATGGCCCTTGCTGGGCCGTGCTTGGGAGAGATAGTGATATGGTTTAGGAGAGTTTTGTAGCGTTGTTTCCAAGAAAACATAGAATGTAATAAAACATGGATGAAACGATCACTATCAATGCATAGTTTCATCCTTTTGTTTCATGGACATTTAATTTTATGACTCATCTTAAGTTGGTAACATGAGCCAAGAGAGTTTCATTTTCATAAAACTCATTTCTTCTCTCTCTTCTTTACATTGTCACGTCGTTGAAAACGGTTATGTGACACCTTACTAAATGCAAATTAAACTCTCATTGAAAAATTTTATATAAGAACCAAGATAGATGGAGATGTAATCTACCATATATGCTACCATATACCTTATTTCTGTATACCAAAACTGCTCAGCCACAACGCCTACTACTGTAGCGCGCACTATTCAGTATTGTTTCAACACTGTCCATAGATTCTTTTTCTAATCTTTTTTCGTTTCTTTTCTTCCTGTTTTTTCTCGGTCTTGATTACCTGTTATGTAGCTGTTTCAGCACTGTTCATAATTTGTTTTCCCTTTTTCCTTTTTTTCTCTCTTGATTGCCTGTTACGTAACAAATCACTTTCTCCCGCACTTCGCGCAGTCTTACCGGCTAGTAGGTAGGTGATAAGACAGAGGAAACACATGATTGGATAAAAATATCTTTTCAAGAAAATCTCTATTAAAAATGACACAAATATGGCTTTGTGTGGCTTGACAAGTATGGAAACTGTCTCGTAGTTTATAGGATAGGACTGCCTAGGTACTCATAGAATAACACAAACATAAAAAGCATGTTATTATTTACTATGCCTGTGAGCCATACCGAGAGTAGTATCTTTGCCCACTGTGGTGCTGCAGTTGCAGTTCCATGGGATAGGATCCATGCTCGACCTTTAGCTAGTCCATCGTTTTCGTCCTTTTGTACCTCGCCGAGAAGCCTCAAGGTGGTGTAGTTTAAGCACGTGGAAAACATTGCGCTCTCGTCCAAAATATTGAAGCCCCATCCGCCGTCCTCGTTCTAAGCATCAATATTCATGCTTAGTGAGTTAAAAACGTGCTTGGGTGTGGTCGTGAATGAAAAAACAAGAGTTATATATGCATGGTGAGCTGGTGTGTTGGGAGGACAGGACGTGCGTAGTATTATACTACATATAGGAGTAGCAATATTTGTCAAAAATAGTGGTTCTAGGTACCTGATGGTTGTAGATATGGCGGCATATCTCACGTATATGCTCTTTCGACAGGACAGCATCGACCGATCCTGTGATGTGCAGTGCGAAAATCTGTAAAACAAAAGAAGACGTTGTTATGTTATTACGACAGGTAAGTAGAGGTAGCTAATATAGGTCGTAGTCGTAGCATGCATGTACTACTAGGATGCGAGCCAACTGAGCAAGTGCATGTGAACGGCTAATATCGTCGACGAGACACAGGATTTAATACGAACCCAGAACGGCAGCAGGTACATAATCCCACTGAAATCACCAGGCCAGTGACCATCTTCAGCTTGGAGAGCAGACATCCAACCGAGCGCTCGTCTCAGCGACTCCTGCAAAATTTCTGGCGTCACCTCGTCGCCATCCTCTATCTTGGTGGTGGCCGGGGGCATATCCGCATGCAGATATTTTTGTCCAGTGAACTGCATGCGCTTACAAGCATCATCATATCATATATTCACACACTACAGAAGCAGCCAGCACAACAACAGTCTAACACAGCAGTATCGACCAACTATGATCCGTAATACGTGCACCCTTGTGTGGCGTACATTTTTTTAAAACACACACACCTGCATACGCATGAGGAGGTCCTGCGGTTCCCTCCTTCGGAAGCGGTTCTCGGTGAACGCCCGGCGAAGCTGCTCCACCTTGACGCGCTCCTCGTCGGTGCCGGCGTCCGGGTCGAATTCCCAAACCTGCCGACCATGGAAGTCACTCACCGTCTGCATCCATGGCCCTCCTCCCTCTCCGATCTTTAGCCTCCACATGGCCGCCGGGGTCCTCTACCGCGCCTCAACGTAACCTTCTGCACAAGCTTCAACGGTTTATTACGACACTACTGGTATGAGATACTGTGCTTCAACGTACCGAATTTATAGGTATGTAGAGGGACACATTTATATATAGTTAGATGAGAGGAGGGTCGTTGGACAACTCATTTTTTCACATATAAGGACACAAAGTTTCAGCCTCTACCATCAACCGATGGTACAACCAGCGCGTCTCTGTCCGCCGAGGCATGAGCGTAACCTCCAATGAATCACTCGGCCGCTCACTCAACGGCAACCAACGAGGGTGACGATAACCCCCTCGGTGAGGGTCACTTTGACCTCGTGTCTTTGCAGGACAAATGCCACTTGGCGGGCCCCAATGGCGGGAGACGACCCTCGCGGAGCCAACTCTCCGACACAGTTAGTAGAGGAAGAGGGCGATGGCGGCCCTCAGGAACGGAGTTCCCCACGCTGTTGGAAGAGTAGTTGGAGCGGGAGCGTGAAATGTCTTTGTTACCCATGTATTACTCTCGAAGGACACCCTGCGTGACCAGGGCAGCTTGTAATTTGTTACCCATGTATTACTCTCGAAAGACACCCTGTGTGGAATGTCTTTGTTACCCATGTATTAAAAATTTAACTTAAGACAACTCTAGAAATCAATTTATTCCATGAGAGAGAGAGAGAGTATATAGCAATTTGACTTCTCCTTTACTTCTACGAGTATTGTGAGACCAATTAATTGATCGGTCCTAGCTCACAAATTAATTAGTCACGCATGGGTGATGGGTCCTAGCTAACTGCTGTAATAATTCGGTCAAATGATTGATTGGGACCAACAAGATGCACGGCCATATATAACCAAAACTTGTGTACATACTATTGGAAAGTGAAAGTGGTGGATGGAAATGATGGATGTATTAATCTGATGAACAGTAAATGTATATATACATGCTCAGAATGGGCATTTGCTTTGTCAGTGACACAAGTCACTGACGCCTCTCGGTGTGCCTATGGAACCGTCGTTAGTTAGCAGTTGCTCCACCTAGATGCGCTCCTCGTCGGTGCCGGGCGTTCGGGTCGAACTCCCAAACCCTGCCGGCCATGGAAGTCACTCACCGTCGGCATCCATGGCCCTCTCCTCCCTCTCCGATCTTTAGCCTCCACATGGCCGGTCCTCCACCGCGCCTCAATGAAACTTTAATTTCTGAACAAGCTTAAACACGGTTGTGATACAGCAGTGCTGCGGCTGCATCAAGTGAACTGCTGAATACTGTAGCTAATACTGGTACAGCTACAGCCGCCGCCGGCTTTCAGCTGAAGCGAGCGCGCCGACATGAATAGTAGACACATGTAGGAGTAGCTGGCAATAAAAAGAGGGTTCTAATTAGTGGTTCGTTGTTGGGACCGACTATTAATTCAGTCAGATGGCCTGACGTCCCAGTATTCTTATGGCAAAATTAATAATACAGTCAGCTGCTAGCTGCATGAATACTTACAACCTACCTCTCTACCTACTTATATAGTGGTTACATTCTCACTATTGATATGTGGCCTATTTGTCTCTCTTACGAGGTTTTGTGGTTGTTATATCTAAGCCCATTGTAAGTTTACAGTCAGTTTCTTCTCTCTCCTCTCTCCTCCACGTCAGCATACTCTTACACTATAAAAATATATTGATCGAGACCAAGTATGTTTACTTATTTACAAAGAACAATATCAACGTGTATAATAAATCTCTTTAAAGGCGTTTGCCAAATGGCCTCAGAGGCGGGCGGGCCGGTTGCCCGCCTCCGTTATTAGGTGGTCGGGCAGCCAGCCCAGCAACCGCCTTGGTTAATTCTTAACCGAGGCAGGCAACCTAAAGGGTCCGCCTCGGTTAATACGGGCATCCTAATGCAACCACCTCGGTAAATCATTATCCGAGGCGGGCATTCTAACTCAACCGTCTCGGTAAATCAGGCCTAGCCCGCTAGCCCACACCTGCCCACTACCATCTTCAATATATAAACGCAGGGGTTAGGGTTTCAGTCATTCTCCCAGTCTCTCCTCTCTCCCAGCGTCGCGCTCGCACAGCGCCCTCTCCCCCGCCGCTCCCCTCCACGGCAACACTCTCCCCCACCGCTCCTCCCTCTCCCGAGCCACGTCGACAACGGTGCCTCCCTCTCTCCCCTCGGTGGCGCCTCTCCCGAGCCACGGCGGGTCAGAAGGCCCATCTCTCCCCTCGGTGAGCCACTCCCTCCCTCTCCACGAGACCCGGCAAAGTGATGGCGCCTCCCCACCCTCTCCCGAGCCCTGGCGGTGGTGCCGCCTCCCTCTCTCCCCTCCCCGGTGGGCTAGGGGGCCTCCTACGATGGCGGTGCCCTCCTCCACCCTCCAGGCAGCGACGGCGGCACCCCTCTCCCTTAGATCCGACGCCTCTCCTCCCCCCCACACCAGATCTGGTGGTGTAGCCCACGGCGGTGGATCTGGTTCTGGAGGCACGGATCCGGTGGTGGTGTGACCATATCCTATGGCGAAGGCGCGGCGTAGGGCTCGGCTCTTCTCCAGCGGTGGTGGGTGCGGCAGCACCGGTGACGGTGTGCGGATGGGCTCAGCGGGTGTCACACCCGGTTTTAAAAACAAAACCAGATTCATCATATGTGTGCCCAGGAAGTCCACACATACAACCACAGAAAGGATGGATATCAGAAACAATGTTATATAGAGGAAATATACTCATATTTAACACTTATATCAGAGTATCGCGGAACGGTACTAATCTACAGGCTCCATTCTTCACAGGGATGGCTGACTGGGGGTATCATACGCCTAGCACTTCTAAAAAAATTGTCTAGCTCCATCATCTGGTACCCATCCGGGATTTTTCCAAAGTAATTGAAAAGTAAAGCAAGCGTAAGCAAACCACCGCCTAACATGCATAATATGAGGGGATGTAGGCTCAAATGGTTTGACACGGCTAAACTGCAGTAAGCAATTTTAGTAGATCAAGTTTTAGCATTAAGAACCTAAGTTCCTAAATTATGCTTAATCATCAATTCCCACAAGATCATGAGTAATAGCAATAAGACAATAATGAATAAACATGAGCATCAACGTCATAGTATAATAAGAACCCATAATTTTGTGAGTTTTCCAAGCCACTCGTGACCGTGAGCACGGCTGTTATAACAATTTGTAGACACTCTGCAGAGGTTGTACATCTTTACCCATGAGCCGTGATTTACCCTTTCGCCCGAGGTGGTCAGCCTCTTGATCCACCACCAAGGAAGGTCAGCAGGGTTTACTATGATGTCTTTCAAAGGATTGTCTAACAAGGTAGTAGCCGCTAGGTTTTTAATTGGCAAGGGAATATAGAGCCCCCTTCCGAATGGCACATTCCATGTAGGCTATACACATAGGGACAGAGGCCGCGCTATACACAGCTTGGCAAGCCCCTTTTGCGTCCTTTTGGGTAACCAGAAACAAGCTAGAAAAGGTCCTTCTACTGAAGCAAAGCCAGAGCCATGTAGCACTCATGGTTGTATTGTAAGTCCTAGATTTTGCTGACAGATAAGTCATCATGATTCCATGTTGCTAAAAATCACATTTTAAACATCATTGCATATGCCATTAGCCAATATTATCGATCTTCTTCATTAAAGTTAAGAAACTAGCAAGAACTACCCATATGCATAAACCAGTAGGTAACAAGGAATAGGGTAACAAAAGTATACTAGGTAAGGTCTTTAATATTTCATAATATTGTATACATGCACATAAAAAGATGATTATTGTGTTATTAGGTAACAAAGAGCCTCATATTATACTTGCCTTTTACACTTGCTCAAACTTCCCCATACTTTTCTTCTAGTCATCACCTTCTAATCTTCAGTATTCATAAACGGTTCTCATTCTACTCGAAGCAAGCACCGCACATAGGCAAACATGCAAGCAACAAATTAAAGCAACTAAGAACATTACACCATATAAGAGAAAACCCGTACTAAAACGGAGCTAGTGCTACGAGATCACTAAGAAACATCGAAACCGAAGCTATCGTTAATCGAAAGTTTTATATTATAAAAGAAAAGCCTACATTCTTGATTTATTTTAATTAAACAAAACAATGTGAAGGTTCTTAGTTCAGATTAGTCACTATACAGTTTAATTAGAAACTGAGTTAAATCTAGTCCTTATTTCTATATATGTCTTATATTTATTTAGCCATTCAAACTATAGCTTTCAAAAGAAATTAAAATGTGAGAGCATCTACTATAACTGCAAGTGACGTGGGTTCAGCTAAACAAATTATAATTTAGAACCATGATTACATTAGCAATTAATCATGTTACAAACTTATTTGCAAAAGAGCGATGTATATATAATATAATCTATGTTGCTTTTATTTAAACGTGTCGGCATAAATGTTAATTAAAATAAGATTTAAATCATAAAATTTAGAAACATGTGATATGATAAACATCAACACTAACATGTAGCTCACATCGACACAGATTCTAACGCAACAAGAATGAACTAAATCGGAGTTAAAACAGATAAATGGTGGCTAATTTCGTCTCGGTGGCAAAACTGTAAATTGCATCATCTTCTACCTTGTTGCGTGCTGTACACCAGAACGTGGTAGCCATGGTGGGGACCTTCTGCTGCTCGTGAGGGAGAGGAAGGGCCTCGGTCAGGACCTTGGCCTGATGGCCGGCCGGAATTGAAGATGCTCTCGTCCATGGCGGATAACCTTGCCGAGAATAAGAGAAAAGCAAGGGGGCAGGTTATACGGTATTGGATTGATGTAAACAAGGAAAATATGGGATTGATAACACGAGACAAACCTGATGATGATGACGGTGGCATAGGTGAGACATTAGAGGTAGCATAGCAAAAATTAAATTTATTACCTTAGTGATTCTCAAACTAGGGGCTCCCCTAGGGAAGTTTTGGCGTGCTTTGCCCAAGTGATATATATATATATATATATATATATATATATATATATATATATATATATATATATATATATAAAGAAAAACTTTCCACATTCACGTTAACTAACGATATGGTACTAATTGACGTAAGCCCATTAGTAAATAAAGACATGAGTCTTTAGGATTTATTAGAATTATTGCATATGGGCTCTGAGTGTTGGAAAATAAAGAGAGATTTTATTATTTTCAAAATTAATTAATTTTATGGATAAAATAATTCTAGAAAAGTTTAGAATTATTATTTAAGCCGCGGAAAATACTCCGAAAGCTCCTAAAATTCGGAGAAAACTATAAGAGACATTATGAAACATGAGGAACCAAAATAAAGTATTTTGAGCTCATGATAAGATAATTTGGAGCATCTAAAAATTAAATTATGCTCATAGACAAGTGGAAACAAGTTCCAGAAAAAACCGAAAAAATTCTCGAGAAGTTTGTAGAGATTGATTGACGGACGAGGAGCTTAAAGGAGCGATTTGCGTTACAAAGAAAAGATTTTAGGAAGCTCCTAATGAAAATTAGAGCTAAGAACAAGGAATTTTGATTGTAGAAAAAGATAAAGGCATGTCAGAGAAAGAAGATCGACCTACTAAGGGAGTGTTTGGTTCTAGGGACTAATTTTTAGTCTCGGTCACATCGGACGTTCGGATGTTAATTAGGAGGACTAAACATGAGTTAATTATAAAACTAATTACACAGATGGAGACTAATTTACGAGACGAATCTATTAAGTCTAATTAATCCATCATTAGCGCATATTTATTGTAGCACCACATTGTCAAATCATGGCCTAATTAGGCTTAATAGATTCGTCTCACAAATTAGTCTCTATCTGTGTAATTAGTTTTATAATTAACTCATATTTAGTCCTCCTAATTAATATCCGAACGTCCGATGTGACAGGGACTAAAAATTAGTCCGTGTAACCAAACACCCCCCATAAACGTATTTTGAAGACTTTGGTCACTCTCAACACACAAAGATACAACATCTTCAGCTTGGAGAGCAGACATCCAACCGAGCGCTCGTCTCAGCGACTCCTGCAAAATTTCTGGCGTCACCTCGTCGCCATCCTCTATCTTGGTGGTGGCCGGGGGCATATCCGCATGCAGATGTTTTTGTCCAGTGAACTGCATGCGCTTACAACCATCATCATATCATATATTCTCACATACTACAGAAGCAGCTAGCACAACAACAGTCTAACACAGCAGTATCGACCAACTATGATCCGTAATACGTGCACCCTTGTGTGGCGTACATTTTTTTAAAACACACACACCTGCATACGCATGAGGAGGTCCTGCGGTTCCCTCCTTCGGAAGGGGTTCTCGGTGAACACCCGGCGAAGCTGCTCCACCTTGACGCGCTCCTCGTCGGTGCCGGCGTCCGGGTCGAATTCCCAAACCTGCCGACCATGGAAGTCACTCACCGTCTGCATCCATGGCCCTCCTCCCTCTCCGATCTTTAGCCTCCACATGGCCGGCGGGGTCCTCTACCGCGCCTCAACGTGACCTTCTGCACAAGCTTCAACGGTTTATTACGACACTACTGGTATGAGATACTGTGCTTCATCGTACCGAATTTATAGGTATGTTGAGGGACACATTTATATATAGTTAGATGAGAGGAGGGTCGTTGGACAACTCATTTTTTCAGATATAAGGACACAAAGTTTCAGCCTCTACCATCAACCGATGGTACAACCAGCGCGACTCCGTCCGCCGAGGCATGAGCGTAACCTCCAATGAATCACTCGGCCGCTCACTCAACGGCAACCAACGAGGGTGACGATAACCCCCTCGGTGAGGGTCACTTTGACCTCATGTCTTTGCAGGACAAATGCCACTTGGCGGGCCCCAATGGCGGGAGACGACCCTCGCGGAGCCAACTCTCCGACACAGTTAGTAGAGGAAGAGGGCGATGGCGGCCCTCAGGAACGGAGTTCCCCACGCCGTTGGAAGAGTAGTTGGAGCGGGAGCGTGGAATGTCTTTGTTACCCATGTATTACTCTCGAAGGACACCCTGCGTGACCAGGGCAGCTTGTAATTTGTTACCCATGTATTACTCTCGAAAGACACCCTGCGTGGAATGTTTTTGTTACCCATGTATTAAAAATTTAACTTAAGACAACTCTAGAAATCTATTTATTCCGTGATAGAGAGAGGGAGTATATAGCAATTTGACTTCTCCTTTACTTCTACGAGTATTGTGAGACCAATTAATTGATCGGTCCTAGCTCACAAATTAATTAGTCACGCATGGGTGATGGGTCCTAGCTAACTGCTGTAATAATTCGGTCAAATGATTGATTGGGACCAACAAATTGCACGGCCATATATAACCAAAACTTGTGTACATACTATTGGAAAGTGAAAGTGGTGGATGGAAATGATGGATGTATTAATCTGATGAACAGTAAATGTATATATACATGCTCAGAATGGGCATTTGCTTTGTCAGTGACACAAGTCACTGACGCCTCTCGGTGTGCCTATGGAACCGTCGTTAGTTAGCAGTTGCTCCACCTAGATGCGCTCTTCGTCGGTGCCGGGCGTTCGGGTCGAACTCCCAAACCCTGCCGGCCATGGAAGTCACTCACCGTCGGCATCCATGGCCCTCTCCTCCCTCTCCGATCTTTAGCCTCCACATGGCCGGTCCTCCACCGCGCCTCAATGAAACTTTAATTTCTGAACAAGCTTAAACACGGTTGTGATACAGCAGTGCTGCGGCTGCATCAAGTGAACTGCTGAATACTGTAGCTAATACTGGTACAGCTACAGCCGCCGCCGGCTTTCAGCTGAAGCGAGCGCGCCGACATGAATAGTAGACACATGTAGGAGTAGCTGGCAATAAAAAGAGGGTTCTAATTAGTGGTTCGTTGTTGGGGACCGACTATTAATTCAGTCAGATGGCCTGATGTCCCAGTATTCTTATGGCAAAACTAATAATACAGTCAGCTGCTAGCTGCATGAATACTTACAACCTACCTCTCTACCTACTTATATAGTGGTTACATTCTCACTAATATGTGGCCTATTTATCTCTCTTACGAGGTTTTGTGGTTGTTATATCTAAGCCGATTGTAAGTTTACAGTCAGTTTCTTATCTCTCCTCTCTCCTCCACGTCAGCATACTCTTACACTATAAAAACATATTGATCGAGACCAAGTATGTTTACTTATTTACAAAGAACAATATCAACGTGTATAATAAATCTTTTTAAAGGCGTTTGCCAAATGGCCTCAGAGGCGGGCGGGCCGGTTGCTCGCCTCCGTTATTAGGTGGTCGGGCAGCCATCCCAGCAACCGCTTTGGTTAATTCTTAACCGAGGCAGGCAACCTAAAGGGTCCGCCTCAGTTAATACGGGCATCCTAATGCAACCACCTCGGTAAATCATTATCCGAGGCGGGCATTCTAACTCAACCGTCTCGGTAAATCAGGCCTAGCCCGCTAGCCCACACCTGCCCACTACCATCTTCAATATATAAACGCAGGGGTTAGGGTTTCAGTCATTCTCCCTGCCTCTCCTCTCTCCCAGCGTTGCGCTCGCACAGCGCCCTCTCCCCCGCCGCTCCCCTCCACGGCAACACTCTCCCCCACCGCTCCTCCCTCTCCCGAGCCACGTCGACAAAGGTGCCTCCCTCTCTCCCCTCGGTGGCGCCTCTCCCGAGCCACGGCGGCTGTGGCGCCTCCATCTCTCCCCTCGGCGGAGCCACTCCCTCCCTCTCCTGAGACCCGGCAGCGACAGCGCCTCCCCACCCTCTCTCGAGCCCTGGCGGTGGTGCCGCCTCCCTCCCTCCCCTCTCTGGTTTGTAAGCATCGTACGTGACAACGTGCACGAAATCTTCTGAAATTTTTATAATAGCCTCCACATATGATATCACGACATCTCAACAAGTTTCATGATTTTCGGACTTCGTTTGCTTTTTATAGAATTTAAAAACACTTCACACGCAATTTTGCGGGCATGTTTCGTGAACAAGATGTCCGAAATTTCGGGTCTGTTCCTGGATACGGCCTCTCACAACACTCAGTAACATGACTATCAATTTTCGAATCATTAAACTCCATTATTCGTACCACGTGCAGTTCAAATTTCTAATTTCCGGAAAAATTCAAGTAAACGAAATAAAGTAACTAAATATAACATAAAGCCACAAAAAATCCCCAAATTGTAACTAGGAGTTCCTGGTGCTTTGAAAGGGCTGCACAAAAAAATTGAAGGCCAAAAACAAAAAAACAAAAAAATACTTTGCCGAGTGCCGGGGCATGGCACTCGGCAAAGGGTGTCTGCCAGCCATCAGGCACTCGGCAAAGAATGTTTTAATTTTTTTTTAAAATTTCCTCTTTGCCGAGTGCATCCACAGGAGCACTCGGCAAAGAAATAATAAAAAAAAATAAATCTTTGCCGAGTGCCATCCCAGGGGCACTCGGCAAAGTATTTTGAAAATAAAATAAAATTCTTTGCCAAGCGCCAGATCTGAGACGCTCGGCAAAGAATTTTTTTTAAAAAAAATTTAAATCTTTGCCGAGTGCCAGATCTGGGACACTCGGCAAAGAAATTTAAAAAAAACAAATCTTTGTCGAGTGCCTCCCTGATCCGGCACTCGGCAAAGCCGCGGGCGTGGGGACTTAGTGGTTTCTGGCGGACCGGGCAGTCACAGCCAGCCAGCCCCGCGCCCACGCTGCTCGCCGGCCCTGCGCCCTGGCCACGCCCTTTTTCCGGCCGCGCCCTGCCCCCGGCCGCACCCCGTGGACCGCCCGCCCCGACGCCGTCCGTGCCCGACCCCGTCCCCGACTCCGCCCGATCCAGACGCCGCCCGCCCCTACCCCATCGCCCGTCAGGTATGCCTTCTCACTTATTATTGTCGAGGTAGTGGTAGTTGTAGTAGTATTAGTTGTACTAGTGGTAGTATTAGTACAACTAGTGGTAGTATTAGTAGTAGAATTAGTGGTAGTAGTAGCAGAAGTAGTGGTAGTAGTAGTAGTACAACTAATGGTAGTAGTTGTAGCAATAGTGGTAGTAGTAGAAGAACCAATGGTAGTAGTAGCAGCAATAGTGAAAGTAGTAGTACAAGTAGTGGTACTACTTGGATATATTCTTCTGCATGGATTGATATCCAAACTACATGGCTTCTGTTGAGCCATATGTGCTTGTCGGCCATCGTGCCGTTGTTTTTTGTAGGTTTTGGAAACCTCACCTTGCAGGGGAGGTTCTGCCGAATTTTTTTGTAAATGACAGTATTTTGTTCCATTTTTGTAGAGAAGAGCCCGTCGGAGTTCTTGCCACCGTGCCGGTCTGCCTGCACCGCGTCGTCTCGCCACTGCACCGACCCACCACGGCCCCGCTAGCCTGACTCCGCCGCCACCCTAGGTATAACCCCTCTTTTCGTATCATTGTCGTAGATCGCGTAACCCAGTTAGGCGTCTCCCGTTCGAAAGAGATACAGTTGGAGGTATGCAGATCTTTGCATATCTATGACCGTATCTATTTCGGATTGTCCACGCTTTTTGGACAGCCCACGGATGCGTAGATGGGTTAGTTCCCATGTTCTGCTCTGGTCCGAGACAGAGTTTCGGCATCACCTTCCTGTTGTTCTCCGGATACACACTCTTCTTTGGCAAGACGTGTATCTGGAGAACAGCGAGGAGGAGCTGCCGAAATTCTGTCTCGGATAGGAGTAGAGCATGGAAACTAACCTCATCTACGCATCTACGGGTGGGATTAGGACCTATCCTCACCTATTAGACAGTAGGAACACCATGTAGATGCAATTGATGGTTACATTACTCGCCGATACATATGTTAGAGGATGGATGACCGTCAGTGGATGTACACAGGCTGGAGAAGTCAGAGTGATTACACCACGAAATGGATGAACAAGACCGATGCTTTCTTGAACAGTGCATTTGGCAACGCTGCTAAAGGACATTGCCTAGTTTTGTGTCCCTGCAGCAAATGTGGAAACAGGAGAAGGGTAAACAAGGTGAAAATGGGTAAACATCTTGTGAAGAATGGATTTACGCCGGACTACACCCGGTGGGTCGACCATGGTGAAGCCCATCGTATGAGAGAGGAGGTGGTGAGACCATGGGTGGAGGCTTTTGATGCTGATGCCGGGGTAGCAGACATGTTAGATGACTTTCACCAAGGACAGTTCGATGAGGGACGTGAGAAGGAGGAGATGGAGGCAGCCGCACAGGCGTTCTACGATATGATGGACTCGGCACAGAAACCCCTTCACGATCGGTCAACGATGTCTCAACTGGATGCCATTGGATGCTTAATGGGGTTGAAGTCCGAGTTAAACTTGAGTCGACCTGGCTTCGATAAGATGTTGGCCGTGATTGGCACCCTGCTTCTGGGGGGTCACATTCTGCCAAAGAGCATGTACGAGTCACAGAAACTCCTTCGTGCACTTAAGGTGTCGTATGAGCAGATACATGCTTGTCCGAAAGGGTGCGTCCTATTTAGGA